TTTTTCTTTTTTTTCCCCCAATCCCTTCCCATCATGCTAAACTGCTAAGTCAGTGTATATAGACCCTGTTGTGAAATCAGACTTTGTGTTTTTTTGTTCTTTGTTACATTAAACAAAGCAGTAAGTGTTCTTAATGGATATGCAGTTTTGTTTTGAAAGAAACAGTGATGTTGAATAGAAACATCTTCTGCGTGATTGTTTTTATTTATTTATTTTTATAATATGCTTCTATCAGATTTCAACAAGCAAACCATCTAGTTAAAAATCTAGCTGGTAAAGCATTTACTCTGTGCTCCTTCTGAGGCTAAGTAATGTGATTCAAGAAATACTTCTGCCTAATGAATCTTCATCTGTTCTGAAGAATTGCTTTATGAAATTCGTAGCTCGACCTTTAACACATTCTACATGGAATCCTTCTAAACTTGTCTTTATTTCTTTCCTCCAGTCTTGGCCATTCCATCATCCCGTTAATAAGAAGTTTGTTCCTGATTATTACAAGGTGATTGCTAATCCAATGGATCTGGAGAGTATCCGCAAGGTGTGTAGCTTGAATTGTGCAGCTGCTTGCGAAACATTTATGAGAAGCATTTAGGCTTGATTGCTTACTGTTGGCATCTCTTCCAGAATATCTCCAAACACAAGTACCAGAACAGAGAGACTTTCCTGGATGACGTTAACCTCATCCTTGCCAACAGCATTAAGTACAATGGTAGGTTCTGATGACGAAGCTTTAACCTTCTTCTATCCTTAATTAAATACATCTATGCACCTGTTCTGTAGTATTGGTAAGGCCTGAAAGTGTGAATAGTGAGCTTCATTGTTGCCTTCCTTTCTTACCGAGGAAAAAAAAATGACATTTTTTAAAACATTGATGTTTTAACTGTCATATGGTGCCAAAAATCTTGCTCTGCAGAATGGGACACAGCTGCATTTGGAGAGGATTTTCTGCCTGTTCACTACATGTCTCTCAGGGATTTGTTCCATGTGTTTGTGAATTTCCTTGAGATTGACAGGGAACAGCTTTCATATATCAAAAATTATATTTTTGATGTTGATATGATCTGGTTGCTCTTTTTTAGCTCAGTGTGAATTCTGCTTTATGTCTCTTCTCAGATCAAAATGTACCATTTAGTGGACTGTATTTGGAGGGTTGTATAGCCACACCAGTCTTTAGTCTCAACTTGTCCTGAGTCCAAACTCAACTGAGTTTGTCCTGAGTCAACTTGTCCAAAGGCATAGAGATTTGTTTCTTATTGCAGGGCCAGACAGCCAGTACACAAAAACAGCCCAGGAGATTGTAAACATCTGTTACCAAACCTTAGCAGAGGTATGTGGACACGTGTGTTGTAATTTTTTTTGCATGTTTACATTTTTTCTGCAATTTTTAACAAGCTACTTTGTTCTTAGTATGATGAACACTTGACTCAACTTGAGAGAGACATCTCTACTGCTAAGGAAGCAGCACTAGAGGAGGCAGATCTGGAAAGTCTTGATCCTATGACCCCTGGTCCCTACACACCACAGGCAAGTGACCAAGCACGTTTCTCATTTTCTTTAGTGTCAGTCTGCTGCATGTTTGATCTAAAAGGTGCCTCACTGACTGTTCCTGACTTGTCCTCAGTGTTTAGTATACTGTCTTGTTGTATGGCATCCTAAAATTTGTTGCTAAAGATAATTAGAAGAAACAGTTATCTTGCATTAGAGCAAGATGCATGAAGTCACTTCCCAGACCACTTGCAAAAGCAATCTCAAGGTGAACTATGTGGGTAGTGAGGTTCAAGTGAACATTTGTTGCAAATTCAACTGCTATATAAATGCAGCAGTTAAACCCTCAGAAGGCAAGCTGTGAAAAGGTAAGGAAGTTAGAAGGGAAAATACTAGTAGCATAGTGGTGAGAAGAAGCCGAGAGAGCAGTTTGAGGATATTTTT